CCATTTGGTCGGGCATGTCCTCCTACAGGCGGATTTTCTCAGAACAATAAAAATAGTCAAATCAATTTTTGGGGAAAAAAACAAAAATAGTGGAGGAGCATGCCCGACTTCATTATATAAAAAAACGACGCCCCTTCCATCAGGAACAAGGAGAACGACACCAGCACCGCCCGCGCGAGGAGCCATGGGGGTTCCTCCTGGTGGTGTGTTTCCCCCTCCCCGCCCCAGGCATTCCCCCATCTCGGCGGAGAGCAAGGGTGGAAATGAGAGGCAAAAGGCCTTCTCAGAAGGCGGCGGGACTTCTCAGAAACCCTCGCGCCTTCGGAGAAGTTGTTTCTGTCTGGGGGGATGGCTCAGAAAACTTCGTGGGACTTCCGAACCTTCTGAGAAGGCCTTCTCCTTCTTACTTCCTCCCCCCTCGCTCACCGCCGACGATCTCCAGCTTGGGGAGGCATGGTGGACCTCGCTGGAGGTCGCACCCTTGATGGTGGTGCCGCCTTTCTGCCCTACAGCGGAGACCAGCCCACAATTGGTGTGTGAAGATTACGCTTTCCAGAGCAAAAACCATCAAAACCCAAGAAACCCAGCGCGCCCTGGAGGCAAGCAGGGTGTTTCTTGGCATAGGATCCCACTGTATCCCCAGTTTGCTGGAGGTCGCACCCTTGGTGGTGGTGCCGCTCTTCTGTCCTACGACCCTATCGATTATCCTCGCTCTGTTCTATCATTGCCCTCCCTCCTCCTTCATCCTCCTGCTCCTCCTGCACGGTTCATCCGCCTCCTCCCTCCCGGCGGACGATCCCCGAAGTCTCTGCCGGAGGTCCTCTTGCCTCAAGACGCCATCCGGGGGCGTCAAGCAGCACTACAAATAGCCCAATCTGAATTCCTCGCCATGACCTACCCTTGGAAGAAGAAGAAAAAGAAGCCGCATAACACACAACATGCGGAGATCCGCAGCAACCTCCCATCTTTGATGGTTCTTCTCCGACTCTTCCTTCATCCACCCGTCGCCGTCGCCGTGTCCGTGCATGCTTGCGCTGATACTGCCATATTTGACGAAGCCACATCTTCGCTGGGCATCTGTTCGCGATATGTGTTGTAAGTGTGGTTGCGTGTATGCTTCGAGTGCTGAAACACCTGCGATTGCCGTCGCACTCGCGTCACGTATGGCTATTATTGCCTGATCTTGTGGTCCGTGTGGCATAGTGACTGCTATCGCGTTTGCTAAAGAGGCTAGGTCTGCGCACGATGCTGTCAGTTGATTGTAAACACGGATGCTGAATCACATGACGCTGGGAGAAAATATCACATGTTCATATCCTGGTCCCGCTGAACCCCGCGGCATCTGCGTGACCTTGTGGGAATCCCCTCCTGCTTCACCTCAACAGCCATGCGAACGTTGTGCACTCTTCATTCCGAAATCTTCGGCACCATTCCGCGGAACTGGTTTCTCGTCGCGGGCCGTATATTGGCCACCTCCCCCAAGGGCCAAAAAAACTGACCCCAGTGGTCGCGCCGCGTGGATATATGAGACCATGCCCCTCCCTTCCCGCTTTTTCCTTTGGCTTTGGTACTTGAACCGGACCGCGGCCTCAAACGTGCGCATGCAGTAGTGGCCGGGGTACCCCGTGGTCTTGGGGACGTTGTAGGCCCTCTGGTCTGTCGGGCTCTCCTCGTCGTACTCGAGGTGTAGGATCTTGACTCCCGGAGGAAACTCCGTGACGGGCCACGCTGAATCCTTGCACAGGGGGGGAACAATGCATCCGCACCACCGCCTTGGATTCCAACGTTGGCCTGTTACTATAGAAAGGAGCATGTGGCAAACGTTGAAACACATACTCAGCGTATCTGTGCATGCGCGGTCTGGCGAAAACGGGCGGCATCAACGCGACGCACAGGCGCGTCGTGGACTCGAGCTGTTGGCCTGAACGCACGCCGCGAACGACGAACCTGGGGGGGAAGCGATGCATCCGCACCACCGCCTGGCCACCTGCCGCTCGTCGTCACCGGCGCTGTCACGCAGCTGGTCCGCGACAAGCCACTCATGCGTGGCACTGACGGGACATGTAGATACTACCTGGAACGTGGGCAGTTCGACAAATGATGCTGCATCGGCCTATGCCGCAGGGCGAGACGTGAAGACTGACGGTGAACGAAGAGGGGAGCGAGGACGCAAGATGAGATTGGGACAATGGACGGCGCCAAAAAGGATTGAGCATACATTCAGTCCCAGTCGAAGGAGCACGCATGGGAGGAGAGCCGGAGAGGAGGGGGCGGGACAGAGGTGGAACGGGTATCTCACGAGAGGGAAGATGTAAAAGTGTGTGTGTGTGTGTGCGTGTGTGTGTAAGCGTGTGTAGGTGTGTAAGTGGGTGTGTGTAAATGTGTGTAAGTGCGCGTAAGTGTGTGTGTAAGTGTGTGCAAAGTGTGCGTAGGTGTGTGCAAATGTGTGTGTGTGGGTGTGGGTGCGTGCGTGTGTGTGTGGGTGCGTGCGTGCGTGCGTGCGCGTGTGCGCGTGTGCGTGAGAGTGTGCGTACGCGTGTGCGTGTGCGTGTGCGTGTGCGCGTGCGTGCGCGTGTGCGTGTGCGTGTACGTGTGCGTGTGCGTTTGCGCGTGCGTGTGCTTAGGCGTGCGCGTGAGCAGGTGCGTGAGCGTGTGCGCGTGTGCTCGTGTGCGCGTGTGCGCGTGTGCGCATGTGCGCCAGTGCGCCTGTGCGCGTGCACGTGTGCGCGTGTGCGCTTGTGCGCGTGTGCGCGTGTGCGCGCGTGCGCGTGTGCGCGTGTGCGTGTGTGCGTGTGCGCTTGTGTGTGTGCGTGTGTTCGTGTGCGCGTGTGCGTGTGTGTGCGTGTGTGCGTGTGCGCGTGTGTGCATGCGTGCGTGTGTGCATGTGTGCGTGTGTTCGTGTGCGCGTGTGTGCGTGTGTGCGTGCGTGTGTGTGCGTGCGTGCGTGTGTGCATGAGCGCGTGTGTGCGTTTGCGCGTGTGCGCGTGTGCTTGTGCGCGCGTGCGCATGTGAGCGTGTGTGCGTGTGTGCGCGTGTGCGTGTGTACATGCGTGCGTGTGCGTGAGTGTGTGCGTGTGCGTGCGCGCGTGTGTGCGTGTGTGCGGTGTGCGTGTGCGCGTGTGCGTGTGTGTGTGTGCGTGTGCGCGTGCGTGCGTGTGTGCGTGTGCGTGTGTGTGTGCGCGCGTGTGCGCGTGATGTGCATGCGTGCGTGTGCGTGCGCGTGTGTGCGTGTGTGTGCGTGTGTGCGTGTGTGTGCGTGTGCGTTTGTGTGCGCGCGTGTGCGCGTGAGTGCATGCGTGCGTGTGCGTGCGCGTGTGCGTGTGTGTGCGTGTGTGCGTGTATGCGTGTGTGCGTGTGCGCGTTTGTTCGTGTGTGTGCGTGTGTGCGTATGTGCGTGTGCGTGTGTGTGCGCGTGTGTGCGTGTGTGCTTGTGTGAGTGTGCGTGCGTGTGCGTGTAAGTGTGTGCAGGTGTGTGCGTGTGTGAGTGTGAGTGTGAGTGTGTGTGTGTGTTTGTGTTTGTGGGGGGGTGGGATCAGGGAGGCGCAGGAGCAAGGGACGGGGGGGAGGTGGGGGGAGCCAAGAGGGCATCCATCCCTTCAGCCAGACAACTCCGAGACGGAGTCAGTCAGCCCGATACCGAGAGATCCGAGCTTGAACTACAGCTGAATATACACACACGCGCACACTTGGTGGCGCAGACGTGGGCGTAGGAGGGGGGGGGGAAGGCTCCTTAGAAGGAGGCCTTTTCGTGGGAGGCGCTGGGCCTGCATGGAGGCCCGAGCCTTCCAAGAAGCAGGGGCGTTTCTGAGAAGCCTCCCCCCCTCCCCCATGCCCCCTGTCTGCGTCCAGCTGACACGCAAACACACGAACAGACACGCACACACACACACACACTCACCCTCTCTCACACACACACACACGCAACCACACTTAAACAATAGTCGTAGTCGTCGTCGTAGTAGTAGTTGTTGTTGTCGTATTAGTAGTAGCAGCCGTTGAAGGCGTAGCAGTAGTCGTGGTAGTAGTAGTAATAGTAGTAGTAGTAGTAGTAGTAGTAGTAGTAGTAGTAGTAGTAGTAGTAGTAGTAGTAGTAGTAGTAGTAGTAGTAGTAGTAGTAGTAGTAGTAGTAGTAGTAGTAGTAGTAGTAGTAGTAGTAGTAGTAGTAGTAGTAGTAGTAGTAGTAGTAGTAGTAGTAGTAGTAGTAGTAGTAGTAGTAGTCGTAGTAGTAGTAGTAGTAGTAGTAGTAGTAGTAGTAGTAGTAGTAGTAGTAGTAGTAGTAGTAGTAGTAGTAGTAGTAGTAGTAGTAGTAGTAGTAGTAGTAGTAGTAGTAGTAGTAGTAGTAGTAGTAGTAGTAGTAGTAGTAGTAGTAGTAGTAGTAGTAGTAGTAGTAGTAGTAGTAGTAGTAGTAGTAGTAGTAGTAGTAGTAGTAGTAGTAGTAGTAGTAGTAGTAGTAGTAGTAGTAGTAGTGTAGTAGTAGTAGTAGTAGTAGTAGTAGTAGTAGTAGTAGTAGTAGTAGTAGTAGTAGTAGTAGTAGTAGTAGTAGTAGTAGTAGTAGTAGTAGTAGTAGTAGTAGTAGTAGTAGTAGTAGTAGTAGTAGTAGTAGTAGTAGTAGTAGTAGTAGTAGTAGTAGTAGTAGTAGTAGTAGTAGTAGTAGCTAGTAGCAGTAAGTAGTAGTAAGTAGTAGTAGTAGTAGTAGTAGTAGTAGTAGTAGTAGTAGTAGTAGTAGTAGTAGTAGTAGTAGTAATAAAAAGGATGATACTAGTAGTACTGTTAGTAGTCGTAGCAGTTGTTGTTGTTGTTGACACACGCACGCACACGCACGTACACACACACGCTCGCACGCACGCACACGCACACACAAACATATGATGCCAGCGCTCCCGGCGGCCCGCTCTGGACCGGTACCCCCCATCTCTCGAGATCCCCTCCCCCAGGGCCGAAGAGCGCCGGTCCAGTCCCATCCTTTGTGGCACGACGCGCCCCCGGCCACGACGCCTGTTGGGGTGTGGCTGTTTGGACGCTCGGAATGGGTACAGAAGAAATGGGTGCAATGCCCAACAACAAGTGTTGTCCCGAGCCGACAGCGGCCGCTGGTGGGCAGGCGGCCGCTTGTCTCAGATGGACACAGGCCGCGGCGGCGCGGACAGCGAGTCCTGTTCAAAATAAACAGGAACTGCTGTTGGGCATGGTACCCATTTTTTCTGTACCCATTTCGTTCGTGCTGATTGGCTGGCTGGCTTGGCTGGGCTGGCTTGGCCAGCTGGTCAGGACGGGCCGGAGGCCTCCGACGCCCCGAACATCACGGGGAACGTTGGGGGGGGAACGGCTTAGTGGCCAAAACATCGACCTGGAATCGGAGATGCGTCTTCCATATATCTGTATATATATATATAAACATACACAAGACTAGAACCATCGCGCGCTTCGCGCACGCTCAGGTTCTAGCCCAGGCCGGGGGGGCGCTGGACGATCTTGGACAACGCTATCAAGCACAGGCGCGCGACGACATCTGAGGAGCTTCTCTGGGGTGTTCCGCATGCTTCGTCAACTGGCTCTTGGAGGCACCTCTTGGGTGCTTCTTGGGGGGGCGTCTGAGGGTCCCTTGGGGGCATCGGTTCTGCAATCTGAAGCCGTCATTGGCCGTCTTGGCTGCGTGGAAGCCCGACTTGAGGCCACCTGCGGCCAGATTGAGGCAATCCGGAAGAAGCCTCCCTGGGGCGTCCTGGAAGCAGTTTTGACGCATCGAGGACAGTCTTGGGCTATTTTAAAGCCTCTTGGACGTCTCCTAGGGGCCTTTTAGGCCCTCGGGAAGCTTTGGGGATCCTCGTCGGACCACTTGGGGGCCTCTTGCGGCCTTCTGTGGGCCTTGTGGGGGGACCGCTCTGCTGTTGGGTCGCGTTCCCCTTCTTGGGCCTCTCTTGGGGCTCTTGGGGCCCTCTCGGGCCGTGGGCGCCTCAAGCACCGTCTTGGGGCCATCGCGGGCCGTCTTGGGGCCCTCTTGGAGGCATCTTCCTCTATATGGGACGGGTATTGGGAGCCTCTTGGGCCGTCTTGGAGCATCGGGATGCCAAAAGGCAGAAAAAGTTCAAACCCGTCAAAGCCCAATCGTAAAACAATGAGTTGTGCCTCTTGGGGCCACCTTGGGAGATCTCTTGGAACCTCGTCGGCCCTGTTGGGAGCTTCTTGGGAGCCTCTTGGATCCGATTGGGGGCCTCTTGGGACTTCCCGAGAACCTCTCGGGTTAGAAAGCTCGGATTCTCGGTTCGTGTTTCCCTTCTTGGGCCTCTCTTGGGGACGTCTTGGGGCCCTCTCGGGCCGTATTGGGCGCCTCAGGCACCGCCTTGGGGCCCTCGTGGGCCGCCCAGGGCCCTCTTGGAAGCCTCTTCGGCTATCTTGGAGCTGTCTGGGAGGCCTCTTCCTCCTCCTCGTCCCCCCCCTGGTCCTCCCACTCCATCTTTCTCTCCTCTTCCTCCTCCTGCAGCGTGTTCCGGAAGGCTCCCGCCGGAACATGCTGTTCACAAGTGCTGTCACTGCTTCCCCGCCACCGTGCCCTGGGTGGTGGGTCAGAGGCCTCATGGGTGTTGGTTGGATCTCGTGGTTGGCCTGCGGGGACATCGTGAAGGCAGTTTCGCAGCTTCTCGGTAGCCGTTTTGGGACCGTTGTGGGGCCTCCTCGGGGCTGTTTTGTGGCCTCTTTAGGCCTCGTTTGGGCCTCCTGGGGCCTCTTGGGGGCTCC